TTTAAGTAGCTCTCGAAGTACTCACAGGATTGACTTCAAAGCGACGCACACTACTTGAAGCTGCCAGTGACAGTTCTGTTACACGGTAATTTCGACGTTACCACCGTTTCCCTGCCATTTCATGGAATCATCACACGGCCCTTTTACCTCATTCTTATCTTTGTCACTCGTTGCAAAATTGAAGTGTAAGAGTGAGACAGATGGATGTCTAACACCAACTCCGAACTTTTTAAGTCTCGTGGTGTTCGTGTCAGGATTGGAATCGATACTACATGGTATAAAGCGAGGAACAGACTGCTTACACCCATGCATAATGTATGTCACGACCATTACGGGCGCAGAGTAGAAGTTGTACGATTTTGATTTAAACTGTTACAGCGTTTGGGAGTGACTTTACGTGCGAAAGTTTTTGCTCTAACCAAACAATACGTGTTTGTGGAATTTTGTTGCTGTTTGTAGCAGATTCGGTGCTAATTTTACGTCTTTTTGCTTCACTGGCTTTATTTCTCACAACATTGTAATAACATCTTTAGGAATATAATTCTAATCGAAATCTCGTATTTGTCTTATGGCACTACATAAACTACATAGTACTTAATACAAACTCGTTCATTACTTATGTCCTTCTGTTGGCATAACCACAATGTTTAAGAAGCAAAGTCAAATAACTCATGACGTAGCGTCCTTCTCCTTGTCCCTTGAAGTTTCCCCTCATGAAATATAAATTCTAATTTTTCCTGAAAGTGTCATCCAACAAAGGACATCAATTGCGCCACCAGTAGGGATCATAGTTAATAATCCCCTAAATCCCACCGCTCACAACTTTAGGGTCTCTGTTTCGACAAACTAAGTGAAACTGATGAGTCCAGCCATATCGTGACACCATAAAATACGGAACTTTTGTAAGTAACTTCGGCACAGCTCTGCCAAATGATCGGATAGTGTCGTAAACCCATTGTGTCTTACAAATTGAGATATTTGACTTATCTCGGGAGCTCCCCTACTAAAAAGTTCAATCGTGATCTTTTGTGTCAAGTATTCATGGTTTTTTATTTAAAGATTATTTGTTAACAAAACCCATCAGAAATCCACGACATAATACTTCTACTTTCGTGATATCTGAGTTTAAAGTCTATAAAACTTAACAGCCCCGCATAACAATAAAAATCTCACCAGTTCGCCGCAAACTTCCAAACCGACAAAACCGCTTAGCACCCATATGAGCAGCATACTACCCACTTTTCAGCCTTTTAAATAATTTAGCGCCGATTTTATCGTCCTTTGCGGGGTATCAGCATTTATGACCAATTCTCGGAGGATCGTCCCGAATCGGTCCGATCCTTGGAGTGCGGCTGGCGAGGCTCCACGAGGTTGTTATTCAAATCCAGACGCCGTAATTGTCACATTATGTGCGCTCTCTGACTGACACATGGCGCTAAGATTAATGGTGGAGGGTTCCGATCGTAGGGTAAGCCAGAAAGGGTTTTTATACTGCCTTCACGTGAATGAGTAATTGAAATAAATGATCGGCTTACTCTGTTGGATGTTGTTGGAAGTCAACGTTTGTGATAAATTGTTCGTATGATTTGGATTTCTTTTCAATATTTGTATTTATTTACTTTGGAAATTGTGTGTACGACTCGGGATATTACTCCGACGTGCTGTATTTATTGTGGAACCCTCCCAGGGTTTAAGTAAAGAAATGTTTTATGAAATTGGAATACTTCGTGCTTTACACTTATTTTTGTATTCATAATATATGTATGTTGGCACGTTCACGTTTTACACTGACACAGTGCTGTATTTTCTTGTTTAGAGCCGAGTCTGTGTTTACACGCTTTGTCTGTTTGTCAGTGTGTGTGTAAATTACTGCACTCGAGCGTTGCCTGTTTAGCGATTCCATTTAGTGGTAAGTCTTGACTGATGGATGGAAATCGAATGCGGTTTAAATTGTACCAACAGACTTCGTAATAATGTGCTTTGTGTGGTGACAGAGAATTTACAGAAATACAAACTGTTTCATCATTCTTTAATAAATGTATTACAAAAGACATGTAATCAATCGACAGAAAGCAATTTAATATAAATTGTTTAAAACAACGCGAACTCAAATGCAGAAAGTGTAAACATTTCACAATACCCGTAGTGCCTGTTATTGGCGCCCAGCGTGGGACCAACAAATCTAAACTTTTTGCTCGCGCCGCCGCGCTGCTGACGCTACACGTCATCGCGACAAAGGCTGGTCGTTGCTACGCGACAACTGCCACCGTAAATGTATGTCAGTCCGGTATTTAGCGAGTCCATTTGACGCGAAAACTACATGTACCATTTCTTTTTACGACCATTCCTATTGTAAGCTGTATTTCCACTGACTTTATGTACCCAAGCGACAAATAGAACGTACGGTTATGTCTCCGGGATATTGTTATTATAAATTGTCGTTGTTGTTCGTATTGGCTGTGTTTATGTTTTTCTCTTCCGGAATCAACAAACCGATAAATAATGCTTAATGTTTTATTCAATATTTATTCGAGAGGACTGTTCCCATTGGCACTAAACTTTGTTTTTGTTCCGCCATTTAGTTTTGAGGGATGTAACTGTTCATAACTTTGTTGGCTTATGTGTTTTTGTAAAATGGGACCATTCTTTATGCAACCCTTCTTTAACTATCCACATTTAGGATATGATACATTCTGACAGCTATTTATGACATATTACATAAAGAGAGTAGAAGTAATTCAAACCCAAACAAAAAATCGAAAACAATGAGAATAAAACCAGTATCAACCGGTTGATTAGACAAAACTGTAACTTGTACGCAATAATTCAGCGACTGGGTGTAGGCAGGGCCGCGTTCACACCAAGTCCGAGACCGCAGCGTCACCGCAGCGGCACCACAACGACACTGTCTGTGAATACTAAACAAAGCGCCCTGTATGACGGACTACCCTCAAAGGCAAAATAAAAAAATATTTTTCATCCCTTTTTTTCGAGCAAAATTACCTCTCGTCTCGCATAATGACCTCTTTTTAATTAATGTAGTAGAAAATTTTGAGCCCTTTTTGTGTTCAAGAGTGCGCAGTTTACATGCTAAGTACTCGAGTCCCGATGTCGATTCCGAATGTTTCTGTATTCCAAATGAGGATTGTTTTAACCTTTTCCTCTTTGCTGTTTTGCAAGTTGTTATTTAAAACCGTTTTGTGGGGGAACACTAGTAATGTTTAATGCTAATAAAGTTTCATGGTAATCTAGGTTTAAAAGAAAAATCTAGAATGGAAATAGCTATCTTGTTGCGCAGTTGTAAGTTAGCGAGAGTGCTAAGGGTAGTATTTATGGTCTGCAGTACAACACGGTGCAATGCAGGCATTCTTTGCACCTCGCGCTGGGTATTAAGTAACTCGAGGGTTAATGGACGAGGGGAAGTTTGTGCTAAGAAAATTATTGTAATAAACTTCAATCTTTGTGACTATAAAGAAGTCCTAAAGAACAATTTTACGTGACTACGTATGTGATACATTATTATCCTTTATTTAATCACATAATGCCAAAAGTGTCCAACTCGACAATGAGCTAATACGATCAAGTTTCCATCTCCAAGTTTTTATACATTTCACAAACATTTCCGATCAAAATGTTCCGATACAAAATAAGAAAGAAGCTTTTCATACTTTATGAAAAGTATTTCATGTTCTGAATATAATGTATCGCTGTAATTGTTGCTGGGTCAAACTTCTTCTTGGCACAACTTGAATGTGTTCAGATTTCAGGCACAATATCAGTCGCGGAATCAAATTTCAGTTTTGTTGATGTAAACACATTTCATGCCAGGAGATTTCCGATACAACAATCTGACTGTAAGCTCACGATATCTGAAATTCAGCTGTAGCTGTATGATGCTGAGAGAACAACTTTAAAACTTTACGATATGGGCTCTACGCTTTGTTGTTTATTTATTCCGTTTGGAAAACAAACAAAGCTGCCTCAAAACCTGCTTTAAAAAGTCACAAAAGAAATCACGAACGTTTGGACCCACATTTTTGCTCACCGAGCACATATTTGCACAGAACCCCGAATTTGAGTCACATTTCTGTAGCACAAACAATTGCCGCCGCGGCTCAACCCTTCACCTCGTAAATCGGGAAATATTCCATTATTCAAACAAGACAAGAATAACAGGAAAACTGCGAGCAGTGGCGATTGATCGGCTTACTGAAGCTCGTGTGGGTCTTATTGCAGGCTGAGGGCACAACTAACACTAGAGACAAATCAGCTGATATTGCTCTCCAGTAAACCTAGTAGTAAACAAACTCGTATTCCTGGACAATCCTCTGTGATCTCACGTGATTCAAACTAGTGCGCAGGTCCTAGTGTAAAGTCAGGCAGTAGTACCTATTCAGGTCCGGGGCAACGGTTTACGAGCGCAGTTTTTATGTGGCACTCTATTCATCTTATCGCTCGGTTTCCACGTTACTTAGTAAATCTGCTCTGTGGATGCCACGGAGTAAATGTTATAAAATATCAACGAAAGTACTTACGTGCCGCTACTCAGTCGCGTCATGAATTTAATTTAGCCTCCGCCCACACGAGCGGGCATTACACAGATCGTCCCAAAAATGGGCTTTCAGTGTCCCCAAAATGGGCCCTTACACTGCATCGGATTGTGAGGCGAAGGCTATTTCATTAAAATCAGCGGATAGCCCTCTCCGACGGAGAGGCTAATAGCCTCCTTAACGGTTATAGCCTGTTCCGGAGGCAGGCCCTGGTCCTTCGAGCAAATTATTAAATTTTACTACTGAATATTTAATGGCCGACGTTCTCTTGATTGTAACGAAATTAGTTTTTCATTCCAAACTTTTACACGTCTGGCTTTGAATTATAGACTGTTGGGGAACAAAGGAAATGTCATAGTTTGTAACAAATTATAATTTAGGAAAGCTTTTACAAAGATTACTGTGAACATAAAAGGAAATTCCTTGTTTAAATATTTTTTTATTCTTATTTGCAGACATTCCATACTTGGAGCTGGCAGAGCCGGAGGAGGGCTACCATGGACTGATCAAGGAGAACGAGACCCTGGTAGAGGTGACTCCTGCCATCCGAGCTAGAGGGCCGCTCTGCTCCTTCCTCATATTGAACAACAAGCACCATGGGGAAGCTCCATTCGAGGTTAGTACTCTAACAGCTACTTGCGTTCTACATTGAATTAGTTTTAGTATATAGTTACTCTTAAGTCAAAGTAGCCGAACTGCTACAGGCGAGCTAATGGGAAGAAGGTAGCAAGCTACAAAACGACCACATTAACCTCTGTACCGCGACACCAGTAAACTCATTAACGCATCCCAATGAAGGATATCCCCGCACTATGCGATGACACGACCCCACACTAAATCAACGGAAACATTGCGCGCTCTACTCGTAAACAAGACCCATTTGCAATGTACCCGCGCAGCAATGTAACGCGCACCACGCCATATAAACTCTCCGTAGTAATAAATGTCGTCCTCTGTATGTAGTTTTATTGTGCACACGATAACTAGAAATGGAAAAAGTTGGGATTGCATGCAATAAAGTGCATCAATGCAGGTAGTTTGCAATCGCAAACTGTTTAAAAGCTGGCCTCGGCTTTTTTAAAGGTGCGACGCGACGGTAGCTGGCCGGCGCGCGGCCCGGGGCGAACTGTTGCGAACAAACAACATTGTTGATTGTATGTCGAGCGGTCGAGAATGTTTGCGATTCTTTTCCAAGCTTTAAAACAACTTTTTAATAAACAAATAAAATTCTCGTGCAATTTTTATATTTTCATGAAACACTGTTAAAAATAGAGGAAACTGTAGTAAATAGGTACCTGTCTAATATACATTGTTATCGATAAAGCCTTGAATAATTAATCGAATAAAACAGATTTTCTACAAACAGGGACTATATTGTTAAGTATTTTTGTCCCCTACAATGACATTGACGTAAAAATACACAAAATTTATTTGCAATTAACCCCTGTAGCAGGAAACAAAACCTGAAAAAACAAAGTCCATTTTAAATTTAATTTCAGTGAGTTTGAGCTGGCAGGTGTCAGGCCCGCCACTCACAGACACACGATTTTTGTACAGCCTTCAGTTGTTCAGTATGTCAGGAGTTTTGGTCTTTATTTAACCTCGTATGAACAGTTACATATTAATAAATCACATTCCTCATCCACCGCGATGTTTCTAAATAAAGGAGGTAGAGTATTTGTGAGTTTGTGAGCTGCCAGTCCGCACGTGGTGGCTCGTAAATCTTTGTGAAATTTGTTTCATCAAATTGTTTGTTATTTTCCGCGAAAGAAAGTTTCTTACGAATAGTTTTTCATTTTGTTGTTACATTGTGTACCTATACGGTATTTTCTATGTATTTTATTTACTGTCAGTGCTGTCATAGCATAAATTAGGATACCATACAAACAATGCTGCTGCTCTGCCTCGTTGGCCGAGTGATTGCAAGGGCCACTGCCGGGTAAGGGGTCTCTGGTTTAATTCCCGGATCGGGCAAAGCATGGGTTTGCTAAAAAAACATTTAGTGGTAGCTTGGAGTTTGGAATTGTGCCCGATATATGGCAATAGGCTCACCCTCTATTACGTGGGACTCATAACATAAATAGTAAAAAAGGGGTGTTACATTGTACATTGGGATTAAGTGCCGTAATGTGCATCTCTGCCTACCCTTTCAGGGATAAAAGGTGTGATGATGATGCTATACCATACAACAAAAAATCTTTAATGTTGGCATCATCATAATCCTCAACAGCCAATGAGAGTCCACTACTGACTCTGGGCTTCCACTATATAATGTCCAGGTTTAGCATACATTCAAGGAGCCATCAGACCACCACAGATGGGGCCTAACAAGGCTGATGCCGATACGGAGCCGCGGAAGACTTAACGGGTTGCCGGGGCTCCGGCTCGAAGTGCAGGTGTAGGAACGGGGTGGTTTTTAGTCAGTAAGAGTATGACACTCCGTCCCGCCTCACCCAGGCGGGAGAAGTCATTGGATGATTTTCCCCCCTCAAAAAAAAAAAAAGGTTTAGCATACATGTTGGAGACCGTAGTTTAAACTGTCAAACACCGCGAGGACACCGGTGGTCGCAACCTATTGTTCTTTAATTGTGTCTATAATGACGGTACTCAAAGGGTTAATAGAATCAGGTTTATCGGAGAACGATGCTACCCGAAACAGAATAAAAGTAAGGTCCACTAAAGACGATCCGGCAATCGTAACATCATATAAAATGACGTGAAGTGCCACTTCCAACACACGTAGACGTCAGTTACACAAGTTACAAGTTGCTTCAGATTGCACCGCAGTACGGCGGCGGCGGCGGAACTTTGTCGAAGGTTTGAAGAACCAATAACTGCAACTTTACATTGTCTAGACTTTACAGTTTCGGCTTTTGAGTGGTTCTACAATGCTACTGTGTGTTGTATTGTACTGTGGTTACAAAGTCAGGTTGTTTTATGTCTTGTAGCGTTTCGTGTGTAAGTGATGGCTAATTTATAGTGTTTACGATTATAGTCTTTGTAAAATGTAATCTGTTAGTCTCTAAAATAGTTTTATTGGAAACGGTAAACAAATATAATCGTTGTTTGTGATGTTCAGCACTATTTTGGTCCAGTTTCATAACTTATCTCATTTACAAACTTGTTACCCAATTTGAATGTCTATCTGCTCTTACAAAATACACCTAAAAAGATCCGAAAGCCGTAAATATACATTACACAATCGTATGCCTTAAGCTGCTGTGGACATTTGAGGACATATACAGGTCCGGAACATTAGAACTGAAGGACTGAACTAGAAAAAAGAACTAGAAAGAAAGATGAACTGAAGATATGGGCAGAGGAAGCAGTGTATGTCAACAAGAGAGGACGCTACGATATATCAACGTCGTACCTAATACAACCTTATTGTCGGCCATGTTTGAACATGTGGCCAGTGTTTGGTTTTAGGATTCGGTTCCGTAATGTTCTTGATTTAGATGAAATGAGGGTAGGTCCAACTGTTATTGCGCAATCTCGAGGATTTTCTTTGACGGGATAAGGAAGTGGGCGTGTCTATTGGTGTTTGTAGGGCTTTGTGTTTAGTGTAATCAACTCTGTATTATGTCGAGATTTTAGAGAAAGAATAAAAACGATAAGTAATGCCTTGGTATTTGAGCTCAAGCTTCGCACATTCTCACAAATCAGTTCTAAATCTATAGTCTTCTTCGTCTTCCCTAAACGAGAAGGGTCCCTATATTCCATTTTGTATTAAAAAACTCTTTCGGTAATATCCTAGAGATTCCAACTATAACTGAAGAAGTGATTTTCTTAATATTATTTAATCGTATTAAATGCTCGGGATATGAAATAGATAACTATTTACTGAGTATAATGTGCCTATAAATTTACTGGCACTATTTCCATCACGCTACTTAATGCTTCGTCCCGATATCAAGGAAGATGGTACCCGCACTAATAGTAATTAATTAATTACGTAAAAGCATATGAAATATTAATTAAACTCAACTTCGTCGATACCTCCGAGTAATTCTACTTACTAGCTGGTTGTTTATTATCAATATAATATTAAAGAGCTTCGTCAATATTATCTAAATGATAATTAATTTGTGTTGCCAACCCTTCGGGTCAGTTTAGCACTTTATCATATTTTGTCTTCAAACATAACAATTAATAATGAGTTTTAATCCCCGAAGGGATATGCACAGAGGTACGCATATGGAATGTTAAATTTACTAGTAATATGATTTAGTCATATAAGCTACAACAGCTTATTACTATCCAGACAACGGCAACGACCAGAATCTCAAAATCCCTAATCTCTTTTCCATTCCTTAAGCTGTCAAACACCGCGAGGTCACCGGTGACCGCAACCTATTGTTCTTTAACTCGTCGAGTACCGGTTTTATAGACACAATTAAAGAACAATAGGTCGCGGTTACCGGTGACCGCTTGGTGTTTGACAGTTTAATTGTCTCTATAATGACGGTACTCAAAGGGTTAAAAGGTCAGCAACGCACTTGTAACTAATTCTAGTATTGCTGGAAAACATTCACAATCTTACCAATATTATAAATGTGAAAGTTTGTGAATATGTGTGTATGACTGTATGTTTGTTACTCAATCACGTCAAAACGGCTGAAGGGATTGGAATGAAATTTGGAACAGGGGTAGATTATGGTTTGGAATAACACATAGGCTATTTTTTATCCAACGGACACGCGAGCGAAGCCGCGGGCAGGAGCTAGTAAGTTTATAAACCCACTTATCTTTCAGCAACAACAATCCTTACTCCTTACTTATATTATAAATCAGAAAGTGATTTTGTTTGTTTGTTTGTTTGTTCCGCCTTCACGCCGTAACTACTAAACCGATTGCTTTGAAATTTTGCAGACGTAAAGTTAGAAGTCTGGATTAAATAATAGGGTACTTTTTATACAGGAAAAATTTTATATTCCCGATTGAAAACAAAAGTGTTGGTATAGATGGCGCTGTGTATATTGGTATATGTCACATAGGCTACTTTTTATCCTTTTGTGACGCGAGCGAAGCCGCGGGTAAAAGCTAGTAAGTTTATTAACCCACTCATCTTTCAGCAACAACAATGTAGTATAAAACAGTAATATATCAAAGTATTACCGAATCTATTCTGCAGTCCAACTTCAGGGCTTGTAAGTTCAGTGATTTAGTGCACTAGTAGTAACCACGAGGCTGACAGGCAATCGATGCACTGCACGGCATCGAACCTAGTTCACTCCCGTGTTACGTGTGGAGGTGAGGAATATGTTACATGAGTGAGTGAGTGAGTGAGTGAGTAGTGGGATTTGCAAGTGTGTATATTGATAGGTGTCTTTAATCCAGGCTGGTTTGTTGGATAAGGTAATTTAATTGTGTATTATAAGCTTTAAGTCTCATGCAATTGAGGGGAAGGTAGGGTATATGAAGGCGGCCGAAAAAATTGCGATTTTTAGATTATTAATGTCATAATATAGGTTGTCATAAGAAGACCAAGTTGTTCAAAACCTATAAAAATTTGCTATTACTTAGTTTTTTTAAATAAATAAAACTTTAAAATAGAAATAGTATGCGTATATCTGTCGGTGGATTCCACTCCATTCCTTCGTTGCATTTCGAGTGTTATATAAAGATTCTATTTTAGTTTACTATTCCAACTAGCAGATATGAAATATTTTAAAACAAAACAACTCTTTGTGTGATCCACAAATTGTTGTTTCGGGTCTGGATGTCATGTGTATGTGAACTTGTATGTTTGTAAACGCACCCACGACACAGGAGAAAATAAAAGTGTGGGGCAACGTTTTAAAAAGAAAATGCCCTATAATATGTTATTGAGTCTGGTGCATGGCATATAGAGTACTAATGACATGCCAATTGTATTGTTCGGATTGTGCCCCACTCTGCGTACCTCCTCACGAAATAATAAGCACGACGTTTTATTACAAGAAGCCTTATACCTCATATAATCGAAAGTCGATTGTTGACCGTATTTACCGATTCTCGGTATTTTTTCCGATACATTCACTTATTGGAACAGTTTACTTGACTTGTGAGTAATTGAGTTTCTCAGTAAAGAGGTCCGCATCAGCATCAATTCAGTATCTTACTTATTTAATGAGTTGGAGTCAGCAGAACTTATATCTCTAGTAGCCTAGTGCTTTCCTAATCTATTTTGTGGTCGGTTTTCGGCACAAGTAATTGCTATGGAAAGATTGCTAGTATTCATTTGTTTCTTATTCTATTTTATTTTCAAAATGAAGTTAGATAATTTCCCATAGCATAAATCTCGTGACTACACTCAGACCTGCATGAAATACTTGCAGATAAAATATACTAAGATTCGGGTATCGTATCCACCCGCTTTAAAACACAGCAGTCGATCTGACATTCACAGTCCCATCTTAAACCTTTAACTTACCTTTTGGCCCAGTTTCCGGATTATTTTTGTACCCAGGGCCTATAAATCTGTCTCAAAGTCACCGGACGTACCTGCGACCAGCGACCCACATTCACACCGTTCTTAGCCCACAAACAACACATAATTTATTTTCATACATTAATCTCGAAGCTATAAAGGACCCGATTCTGTCCCGTACCGTAACCATGGCGACACATAACAATGCCATTGTCCATTACTGACCGGAATCATTTTCATTAAAGGACGTACAAATATTTTATGGGAATTATGGTCGGGCCGGATAAGTTTTCTACTTTGTCCGGTCCGGTGGAGTTGATAGGTCGGTGGTACACGGATTGTCCCGGATGGGACGGTATTGGATAGATTGTTGTATTGATACTACTGTATTGTATTGTTCGGTTTTATTTCGTTAAGCTTGATTTGTTTAGTACGATTTGTTTGCGAAGATTGTGCCTGTGGAAGCGATGACATGTTTTTTTCATTTCCCTCAGGATGTTGATGTGTATTGAATAAGATTACGGATGTGGATGTAAATGTGTTACAGGTCGATGATTGTAAGCCGTCCATTTTTCATATACCTGCGTTTAGAATCAATGCAAGATGTTTATACGCAAACTTCCATAAGCAAGTATAACAGCTCACACATAGGACCCACTTAGTTTTTAGTCAAATTTCCGTGGTGCCTGGCGACTGGGCTTCACCCAGTTGTACAGTCTCTTCTTTGTGCCTTTAGGCTTAATTCATTCTGTCTCCTGCAGTAATTCACCGAGGGAAGTGGAAACCATAGTATTTCTTCTTCTCCTCCTATAATATCTTCTGATTCACTTCGTTGCGGGAACCAAGACAGTTACTCATGTCCCTGGGACGCGCCGGACTTCAGTGTTCCGGTGTTTTCATGGTTGTATCTACTGTAGATCCTGGCTTACAGGAGTTGCAGCGGTTTTGGGAGGTTGTGGCGGGCTTATCCAAATAAAAAAAAACTTCCATGGTCCAAACTAATCTGCAAAGAAACCTAATTACAATAAAAAAAAATCCAACCAGTTTTATTTAGTTTTCAGACAATACTTAATTAAAGACCATGTTTATATAACGTTAAATAAACACATTTTGCAATATAATTTCAGTTCTGTTTTCATCGCATTTTAAATTTTAAGTCACATTGTTCCAAATCAATAATTTCTTAGGTATAAACCTAATATTTATATTTAACGTATAAAATATGTATAACATTACGCCTATTCATCCCCGGTGATAGGGAGAGGTGCACCTAAATAGTAAGAGCCTCATTTCAAGATATTTATGTTATGAGGGTCCCCTGTAATAGTGGACACGATTACCATGCACCGCCATATTTTTATTAGTAATACTATAGTGTAGACGGTTATGTGGTTGTAATGGTAATTCATCCGACCCAGGGTTCGAAGTCACTACCTGCAGGTCAGCAGTCGTAGTTGTTCCTTATACCGCTGCTGACTCGTATGGTTTGTAAGTAAACTGTAATGTTCAGTTTGATTGGTAAAGACGAAGTTTTCACGGCACGGTTAGTGCGGTGGCTGGGCAATAGGCCGGGTTCGATTCCCGCACGGAGCAACTCTTTGTGTGATCCACAAATAGTTGTTTCGGGTCTGGGTGTCATGTTTATGTGAACTCGTATGTTTGTAAACGCACCTAAGTCATAGGAGAAAATCCTAAATGAATTGAAAGCAGCAGCAGCAAAAAACACACACTTGTGTTTTGTACTTCTAATCCCCAAAAAGCCGGTGACGCACTTGTAACACCTAACGGGTAACCGGGGCTCCGGCTCGACGTGCAGGAGAAGGAACGGGGTGGTTTTTAGTCAGTAAGAGTCTGACATTCCCTCCCGCCTCACCCAGGCGGGAGCAGTCATACGATGATTTTCCCCCCTTAAAAAAAAACGCCTCTGGTGTTCCAGGTGTCCATGGGCGACGCCCATTGCTTACCATCAGGTGATCCGTCTACTTGTTTATGTTTTATATGCCATAAAAAAAACAATCAACTTGCTTTTATCCGCGGCTTTGCCTGGGTGAATTATATTCTAAAACCTTCTCTAACTCTTCTCCTTCTTTATGTACTTCCGACTACGTACTCAAGATTTCAAGAAGATAGGTTCGTGAAAAGTGAAAACACACTTTCGAATTTTTTATAGTTGTAATATTTGAATGTAATTAACAATGTTTTCTTGTTGTTTGATAATGATGATCAATTGTTCCAGATAATGGTGATAGATGAGAACGAGGCCCGGCTGCGCGTGCGCTACCCGCTCAACTGCGAGAAGCGCCGCAACTACAAGTTTGATATCGCCGCCGTAGGATGCGACGGCTCTTACTCAAACACGTATGTAAACTGACTGTATTGTTTCTTTTATCATTGGATTTTGTTTGAGAAAAACTCTACTACTTTCGAGTCACATCAGGACTCTTATTCATGAGTTGAAACATACTTAATTAACCATCACTGTTTTATCTCTTTCCATTCTATCTACATCGATATTATGATTGGTCATTCTTAGAATTACATTTGATCACCCAATTTCCAATAGGCATGGAGAACGGTAGAACGGCAAAAGTACTACAATACACAAATATTAAAGTGCCATTACATACATTACAAGTATCATACAAACTCACCTATGTATTCTGTACCAATAAAGACATCGTCCAATCCCACAGGGTACCAGTTCACATAACAGTGACGGATGTGAACGAATTCGCCCCAGTGTTCAGTCAGGCAGCCTACGTGAAGTCAGTGGACGAAGGTCGCATCTACGACGAGATCCTGCGAGTGGAGGCCATCGATAGAGACTGCACGCCGCGGTACGGGGACGTCTGCAAGTATGAGATCCTCACCGACCGCAGCCAGCCCTTCACTATCGACAACGAAGGTGAGATCTGACCATCTAACATATTACCAGTACCGTTTTTACCATAAGGGCACTCGGGACCCGTGCTCAGGGCCCCCATCCGCGGTCCTCCCTAAGGACCGACAATTTCTACGACAGATACACACTCGCTATGCTACGCGCAACGTGTAGCGGGTTCGATTCCCGCACGGATGGATCACACAAAGATTAGCTCTTTGTGTGATCTACAAGTTGTTGTTTCCGGTCTGTGTGTCATGTGTATGTGAACTTGTATGTTTGTAAACGCACCCAAGATACAGGCAGGAGGATATTCTAGTGTGGGACAACTTTTAAAAAAAGAAAACGTTCCAAAAGGGCCCCGAGTTATTCTGTGCCCGAGGGCCCCCCCGCGTAGCCTAAGACGGCCCTGCATATTACATCTCTAATTTCCAACATACATAGCCGACGGTCCTTTGTAATACCTCTGGTGTTGCAGGCGTACTTATATTCAGTAACATCTCACCCTCAGGCAGGCCATAAGTTACGCTGTTCCCGATTAGGAACTAAAGTATTTGGAACTAGAATCTAATCTTGTAACATGTCCTTAATAATCACATATCAAGCTATAGCTACCGAGTCCATAGACCTCAGTTCCATTGCCGACTAGGGCAAAGTAATAATGAAATCTTTAGTTCTGCACGTCCTCTGTTCATTGTGTATTTATGTCAAAGTCAAAATCATTTATTTCAATGAGACTTTTGAACGTTAGCTAAATATGACAATAGGTTTAATTTTACTCCTACCTACTCTTATTACCATCATAGTTAAAGTCTTTCATCATCTCTCAAGGTGTGATCCGCAACACTGAAGCCCTGGACTACGAGAAGTCGCACAACCACATCCTGTCGGTGGTGGCGTACGACTGCGGCATGATGCAGTCAGCGCCTGTCATGGTCACCATCAAGGTCAACAAACCCTGCAGGGCTGGATGGAAGGGTGAGTAACTCAGTGACCTTACTTCATAAGGTAGAATGTCTTCTTAGACAGTAATCAATTCGTGACCAAGTAATTCTGTCCACGGTTGACGGTGGTTTGGCACTGACTTTAGTCTATGTATAGTCTATATCTAGTATGAGTTTAATCGCATACCCGTTTTATATCACGAAAGGTAGGCTATCTCATCCAGCCTCTAATCTACAACAGTATTCCTCTACGTCACATTTCACGAGAAACTTTCATTTAAAACAGCAGTCTCGTCGTAGGTCCTGTACCAAACGGTCATTTTTATTACCCACATATATTGCGATTAAGTACTTTTTCCAGTGTTTCTCAAACACTTTGCGAAACTAAAAATCGAATTAAATCATGAATTCGCACAAGTGTGGCTCCTGTGACGAACCGCTATCTGATGGAGCTCACTGCACAGTCTGCAATCAGGAACTACACTTTCGCTGTGCAGGAATAACGGAGGCCGGGTACCGGAAACTTGGTGACAGAAAGCTTACGTGGCGTTGCAGTAGTTGTAAGATAAGTGCCACTAATCTAACGTCTGGCAATGCTTCTCAACCCGTTACGCCAATAACGTCGCCTACACCTGTACCAGACACCCAGTCTACGGTTCTGCAGGAAATCCGTGCGTTGGCGTTGAAATTTGCCACATTGGAAAATATGAAGGAAGACATCATCGCATTAAGGAATGAATTTGCTGAGTTCAAGACAACAATGGCAAATCAATACAGCGAGGTCATGAAGGAGGTCACCGGAAAGTTAAATGACATGGAGCTGCGTATCGTGAAAGTTGAGAGGGTCCAAGACCAAGTCGAACAGCTGCAAGCCCGATTGGTTAAATTGGAAGAAGACAACAGCAATAGAGATCAGTGGTCACGTATGAATAATATTGAAGTTAAGGGAGTGCCACAGACAAGCAACGAGAACTTATTTGAAATAATAGCGAAAATTGGTGCTAAAGTCAACTATCCTATCTCGAAAAATCAAATTAACTTCATCACTCGAGTGCCTACTACTGAAAAAGACCGCATAAAACCTATCATAGTCCGTTTTTGCCAACGATACGTAAAAGAAGATTTTATAGCAGCTTCTAGGTACGAACTAAAGACCTCACCTTTGACGCCAGTTACAATTGGACTAATTGGTAATCATAAAATCTTTATAAATGATCACCTATCGATGAGAAATAAAATGCTGCTGACTAAAACAAAGAAAACTTCGGCAGAAATGGACTTAAAATACGTTTGGGTCAAACACGCGAAGATACACGTAAGAAAAAACGATACGTCGCCAATAATAGTCATCAAATCGGAGAAAGATCTCCAAAAAATCACTTAAATTATTCACTGTTATTATTTATAAAAACCGATATCCCAACATTATATTTTAAGTTTGTGTTAAATATGTCTTCAACAAAGTTGTTTGAGAATCTCAGTCTTATGTGTGCGAGTTGCGTATTCCTATTGGTTTTGTGTCGTTGTACAGTGTGCTCAGGTAAATCAATTAAATTTAATAATTGCAATGTCGCTTCTTGGTATGCGAACTTAAACTTTATTTACCATGATATAGAGTGCATTTTGCGTCGTGGACCGTCCCCAACTAAGACGTTTTACTCCGAGGTGCTCTTATCTCTGTGCGGGTCGTCGCTTATTGTTTCCCTTTATAACAGCTGTTTTTATAGTGTTATTTCTACTGATCACTGTGTATTGCTGTGTCTATTAGTTTATTTGACTACTACCCGTCTTGAGCATTATAATAGTTGCAATAATGACTTTCACTTGATTTTATTATTAAAATTTAATTTATTCATTATTAATCTCAATCTATTCTTACGCTATTTAGTAGTAGTTAAGGGTAATTATGGCTACGCTTAAAATCTATTACCAGAATGTGCGTGGTTTGCGTACGAAAACAAACATAGTGTTTCGCGGAGTGTGTCTCAGTTCCTACGATATAATTATATTTACGGAAACTTGGTTAGACGACGGTTTCAACAGTAGTGAATTATTCGACGGACGTTATCTTGTTTGGAGACGTGATCGTGATTACTCCCGAACCGGTCAGTTGCGTGGTGGAGGTGTTCTGATAGCTGTTAAACGAGAACTTACAATGGTCGAGAGGTTGGATTGGCGAAGTTCTGCGGAGGATATTTGGCTATCCTTATTTCTTAAAAGTCAAAACCACAGGTTAGTTACAATTTGCATATTTGTGCGCTTTATTTATGCAAGGAGAATCTAGGTAATTCATACAGTACCCAGCTACGTAATTTCACGGATAGTTTTAACAACTTAATTCTAGCTCATCCACTGGACAAGTTCTTGCTAGTGGGTGATTTCAATTTCGGAAATGATGTTGAGTGGTGTAATGGGGGCATGGCAGTGAATGGGGAATTAATACCTCAAAATATTTTCTCAGCATGTTACACATTTCTTTGATACATTGCAAACTTTCAATATGTCACAGTATAATGGTGAACGGAATGTCAACAGTAGGATACTCGACCTTGTATTTTGTAACGACACTGTAACAGTCTCGGAAAGTGTGGATCCTCTTGCTCTGCCTCTTGATTCTCATCACAAGCCTTTAATTGTTCTGACAAAATTTGTCGAAATTCATACACTTGTCGATAAACCTAAGCAAAGCTACATTTTCTCAAAGGGTAATTACGACGCCATAAAATCTGAACTTGATCTAATTAACTGGTCTCAGTTTATCGTCAGTAAGCTTAGAAGATGCGGTCACTAAATTTTATAATAAACTGTATGAGCTTCGGGATGTACATGTACCTGTAAAATCCGTAAAACAATCCTCTTATCCTGCTTGGTATACCCCAGCACTAGTAAAAATGATTAGAGAAAAACATAAATATCATAAGAAATATAAGAAATACAATAATATATCTGATTATCATTCTTTTTCATTATTACGTAGCAGAATTATTGAGATGGAAAACACATGTTATGAAAAATATATAACTAATATTGAGACTTCAATTGTAAAAAATCCAAAAGCTTTCTGGACGTTTGTCAAAAGCAAGCGAAGGGCTGGGTCATTCCCTAGTGAGATGTACTACCATGAGACCTCTGTAAACGCAGGACAAGATATTAGCGACCTTTTCGCTGGCTATTTCCAGTCTACCTTTTTAGAACCCGAAACAACAACGGCTGATGATGAGGGTACTTCTGGTGGGCGATGTAGTAATACTGCTATGTCTGTCAGCACAGTCGACGTAAACCACCCACGTGTCTTGAAGCTGCTGAAGTCCTTGGACCTTACCAAATCAGGTGGACCAGATCTAATACCACCGTTGTTCATTGTTAATTGTGCTGATAGTCTTGCTAAACCCATAACTATCCTATTCAAGCGGTCTCTTTCCGAAGGTAAAGTTCCAAAGATCTGGAAGTCTGCCTTCGTCACTCCCGTTTTCAAAAAAGGGGATAAATCAAACGTTGAAAACTACCGTCCCATTTCTAAAATCTGCCTCTTTTCTAAAGTTCTGGAACGTATAGTTTATACAGATGTCTACGCGGCTTTTAAGACTGTTCTTGGTGATGAACAACACGGTTTTATCAGGAACCGCTCGACTACGTCTAACTTACTTCTGTCACAGGAATTTATTACGAACGGCATGGCACAGCGTCAAGTTGACGTAATTTATACGGACTACAGCAAATGCTTTGACCGTATTGATCACCGCATGCTACTGGAAAAGTTGTTTCTCGCCGGAATTCACGGAGACTTGTACCGATGGTTCTCATCCTATATAGAGAACAGAACGCAGGCCGTCGTGCTTCATGGCTACACCTCAGGTTGGAGTTCTGTCCCTTCAGGAGTGCCCCAAGGTTCCATTCTGGGTCCTTTGTTATTCATATTGTTCATTACAGATATCAAACAATGTTTTCATCATTCGTATATTCTTCTCTATGCTGATGACATGAAAATTCACAAAGTTGTAAGAGACATGTCTGATGCATATCGATTGCAAGAGGACCTGCACAGATTTGAGATGTATTGCAAACGTAACAAACTCCAATTAAATGTCACTAAGTGTTTCGTCCTAACATTCTCACGACGTACGTCTTTGATCAATTTTTTTTTTTTTTTTTTTTTTTTTATAATTGATGGGGCGACGTTTGACCACTATCTCACCTGTTGGTAAGCGATGATGCGGTCTATGTTGGAGCACGTCGTCCCATAAGCAACCTATTCACTCGGGCCTTGAAGACTCCCAGGTTATACCCTTCAGGAAATACAGACTCTGGCAAAGAATTCCACTCTTTAGCAGTACGCACAAGGAAGCTTGAAGCAAAGCGCTTCGTGCGTGTGGGCGGAACATCTACCATGAATCGGTGACGCTTCGCGGATTGTCTTGTGGTACGATGATGGAAAGGACTAGGGGGAATCAAGTTGTGCAATTCCCCCGCACACTCCCCGAAATGTATCCGGTAGAAAACCGAAAGGCTTGCAACCTTACGCCTGTGTTCGAGGCTTTGAAGCCGAGCCTTCACAAGCGCATCATCGTCGATGAGCCTCCTGGCACGCCTCTCAATGTGCTCTAACGCGTCCAGCTGATATTTAGCCGAGCCGTCCCAAAGATGAGAGCAGTACTCCATACAGGACCGAACCTGTGCTTGGTACAGGCTCAGCAATTGTTTCGGCGTGAAGTACCGTCTCACCCTCCAAAGGACACCCAACTTCCTACCAGCCAGTTGCGCTTTTGACTCTATATAGGAGCCAAAGTTGAGCGTGGGCGTCAGAGTTACACCAAGAAGCTCAAGACGATCGGCTATCGGTACGGATACATTCCGGAAAGTAGGAGTCAGCGGAAATTGACTCCGTTTGGCGGAGAATAGACACGCCTGGGTCTTGCTAGCATTGAACCTAACCAAGTTGGCGTCACCCCAGTCGGACACCGCCTTCAAGGTCGAGTTCAAACGTTCGACCATGGATTCTCTTAAAGACTGGATCTGTGTTCCGCAAGTCCGCGC